CAGGAGTTTAAAAATGGAGTCCAGGCTTATGGCTGGAGAGCGCCTACCACTCTTAGCACTTTAGTGAACATACATGGTTATTCTGCCCAGTGTACAGTGCTGCTAAGGACAGTTTGCAAGCAAAAGTAGAGCTCTGAATCCTCTATACCACAAAGGATAATCATCCTCCCACAAGCTGGTCATCTGGACACGGAAGTTTCTATCTAGGGTTGGGGAAGTGGCTCAGTGGTAGAGCACTTGCCTAGCATATGTGAGGCTCTGGGTTTGATCACACACACACACACACACACACACACACACAAATTTTTTTTTTCAGCTAATGATGATAAACTGCACCGTTAGGTAATAACCAGCTTGTAAACCCAGTAACTGTATTGGGTAATAGAGATTCAATAGACATGTTCTTTAAAAATGTGCATAATTCACATTACTATAAATTGAATCTTACTCTAAATGCACTAAAGGACTATTTAAAGAAATGCAACATTGAAATTTTCATAAAGAAAATAATCATGGGGGTGAAGATACAGCTCCGTTGGTTGAGTGCTTGCCTAGAATGTAAGAAGGCTTGATTCAGTCTCAGTACTGCATAAGCTAGGTGTGGGGCACAGGCCTGTCATCCAGCACTCTGGGGTAGTTCCACCATGGAGCCTCTCTACAGGAGGGCATCCATGTCCCAGTGATGACGATAATGTTAAATGCTTGGTATCATTCTTTATTTCAAAAGTGCTTTATTAAGCATATGAATCCTTAAAGGGAGATAGATAAGTATCATACCACTTTCACAGATGGAGAAACTGAGGCAGAGATTTGTAAATCACGTTGAAGGGCATTAGAAATGGCACAACTGGGAAAAGAATGTGTGACTGCCACAGGTTCCCGGCAGCCTTTCTCATGACTCCTGGGTTCCACCCACACAAAGGTAGCAGCAGCAAGGAAGCAAGTCACCTGGGTCTGGCTGGGCTAAGGCAGCACAGGAGTGTTATCCGTCAATGTCAGGTGCTGAATGACCTGTCCTCTGACAAGCATCCCCAGCATATACAGAGTCTCATACCCTTCCGCCTCTAAACAGAGTGGAAGCTGCTGTGAGTGCAGGAGGGGCTGGAGAAGCAGGACTAGGAAGGAAGAAGACAGGAGAGAAAATACAAACTGAGAGAACGCAAGGGCAAGGAGGAATAAAATGAACATCTGGGAACCAGCCCAGCAGAAGGACACTACAGCAGAAATTCTCATTCATCTGAAAAGCCCAGACATCCAGAAACGCTATTAAAAGGGTAATTCTTAGCAATGACGTTACAGGGCCACTCCTCATAGCTTTGCCAAATATAATTATCAGGTCCTTCTGACATTCCCGGGAGACAGAATCGTTCCTTTCCTCTGGTACAAACCAAGTGCTGATGTAATTGACCCGACACTGCAGAGACTGTTGACAATTGAAATGTACTCTCCCACCAGGCCACCTCTCTTCCTCAGCCCTTCTAGACTCTTCTGAAACAAAGCAAAATGAATTCTTTTAAAGATTGTCCCTGTAAAAGCCCTAAAGCATTTCCTAAGTCTTGGACACCCTGGGTAGGATCCTTACTGGGCAGGATTCCAAGCCTGTTCCAGCCAGGGCTTCTCTATTCAACATGGGACATTACAAAAAAGTTGTGGGTGCCAACTATCTAGAGAAAAACTGGAGGCTACAAGAAAGAACCTTACTTGGCCATTTTAGTACAACCCCAATGCAAGAGATAGTAAGTAAGAGGCCATAAGTTGAAATGGGCGTACTGGTGGCATGATGGCAGGATCAGCACCAAATGAATGGTGAGACCAAGGGCCTGGCAGGGCTGAGTGTCAGGTGAACAGGTGGGAGAGACAACAGGGACAGCTGAAGAGGCAGATGCAAGGCAGAGCCGCCATAGCCTAAGAGATGGGTGAAATGCTGGCACTGTGTTTATGAGTCTGTTAGGATAGGTCACAGCCACAGATGCACCTGTCCTTCATTTCAGTCATCAGTGTCATTCATTCTTATCAATTCCAATTCCACCCTTCTCGCTGGTCTCTCTGCTGGATCCCCCTGTCATCTCATCCTAACCAGGACCAGCCCCTCCTAGCTGCAACCCCCAACTCCAGTCTTCTCCCTGCACAGTTCCATCTTCTAATTTTCTTCCTGGTGCACAGTTCTGGTCCAATTTGGAAACCCCTCCCTGCCTTGCTTCACTCTCCCATTTATGTGTCTCATCTCATCTCATGTCTTCAACAAGATCTTGCCATCTCGTGAAGTTCCCTGCTTTCCAAATCCCCATCCCTCCAAATGTTGACACTAAAGACTTAACACAAACATCACCCCTTCGTGATTTCCTTCTTGGGTTTTCTCAACTCTCTGAGCTCAACAACTAAAAAAGCATTTGAAGACGTGCACTGATTGAATCCATAGCTGTACCTTCCTCCTGGGCAATGTCCATGACAGTGAACCATGTCTTAATATTTTTATATCTATCTTCCCTACAGTTTCTGCCAAGAAATGGTTATTGCATTTCCACCTCAGGTAATGAAAGGCTCAAAAGCAAAATGAATTGGGATGTACTATATTTGTTCATAAATGAAGATGCTTCAGCAAGCACCTTGTAATGTTATCTGAGTCTCAGGATACAACAAATCCCTGATACAGCTTCAAGAGAAAGCATGAAGAGGACAGGCAGGTGAGGCTGTATGCTTTAGAGTCAAGAGACCCCGGATTGAAATTTTGCTTTGCCATTTACTAGCTACAGGCCTGGGGCCAGATGGTTCTTCTCTGAGAAGCATTTCCTTGCTTGTTCAGGTCTTCATAGGCTTAAGAAGCAACTAAATACATCTGCGAACGCTGTACAAAGTGGTTCTCAATCACAATTCTGCAACATAATCACCTATAGTTTCCAAAAATGCAGAGTACCAGGCCCCATCCCAGATCAACCAACTTAAGAATCCACTGGAAGTGAGACCCAGTGGGACTAATTTATAAAATATTGTTTCAAATGCATAACCAAACATTGCAAACCACTATTGTAAACTCATAAACACCATTAGCAGCAAGGTTCTTTAGGCTGCTGCCTTAATTGTCCTTTATTTGTTTAGTTAGGAATTAGTTCAGTTGCTTTTATAATCCAATTAAAATGTGCTACTGTATGAGAATTTTTGGTTCTACACTGTTGTGTGCTTAAATGATAAGTTCTTCGAACATAATAACCAGCCCGCCACCGTACACAAAAGATATACTTAACCCTGATCTTGTCTTGAGAATGGTAAATAAAAACTTCATAGGGTTCCTTTAAACCTTTGTCACTCAAAAGATGTGTTGACCAGACCATTAGCTCAGGCATAACCTGAGAGCAGAATTTCTAGCCTCCCTCTGGAATGTACATACTAGTAAGTTTTTTTGATAGATCAGTAGGTAAAACAAAAGTGACCATTTTCATCTTATATTTGCATTTAGGGCCTTCCATTCCCTGTCCTAATTCTCAAGGAGGACACAGGGAGTCAACTTCTGTCTTCTATATATCACTTAAGCTTGAGGCTCTAAAAATATTTTATTATTTTTATTTTATGTGTATGAGTTTTTTGCCTGCATGTATGTCAGTGCACCTGTGTTGTGTAATGCCCCAGATGTCAGAAGAGGGTGTTGGATCCCCTGGAACTGGAGTTACAGATGATTGTCAGAAGCCATGTGGGTGCTGGGAATCAAACCTGGGTCCTCTGGAAGAACAGCAAATGTGTTTTTTAAAATATTTTATTTATTATTTTTATTTTATGAGTGCATGGCCTGCATGTGTGTAAGTGTGCCCCTGTTGTGCAGTGCCCACAGAGATTAGAAAAGGGTGTTGGATTCCCCTGGAACTGGAGTTAAGGACAGTTGTTAATGCCATGTGGGTACTGGGAATTGAGCCCAGGTCCTCTGCAAGTGCAGCCAGTACTCTTAACTACTGAGCCATCTCTCCAGCCCCTAGAACAGCAAATGTTTGTAACTGCAGAGCCATCTCTCCAGCCCCAAGCTTGAGACTTTAAAATGCTTCTTTCTCTAAAGGGTTCATTTGATAAAAACTAAGAACAGAAACCCTCATGAAAGAGTCCTACTCTAGTTTCATGTTACAGTATAGACCTAAAATAATGAATGAGTTCCTCTAAAATATTTAAAGTAATTTCAGTGTATCCACGTAAGTTATATTCAGTGCACAAATTGAGAGTCTGTGTACCTTACAAAACTTAATAGGCCCCAGGACCCAAATTCCCGAATCCTGAAGGACAGAATCCTGGCTACTGCAGGAGACCACTCTGTTGACCCAAGCACTCCAGGCTACCACGATGTCAGCAGTGCACACCCAGGTGGTGCAAGGTATATCATGGCCAGGGTGTAGAAGCAGACTCAGCATTATCCAGCCCAACTCCCTTGTTCTCTGGACAGGAAGCACCATGCTGAGGTTTTAAGAATTACCCAAGGTCACACAACAACTGGAGGTAGAGCTGAGCTGAGAACACGGGCCCTTCTTCCTGCCCCTACCCTCCCTTAAACAGCCTCTTCTGTCCCAACACCTGGCCTTGAAATCGCGTTCTCAGAAAACTGCTGATCTGCGTTGGGGCTTCAGTGTCACTTTGCTGCTACAAGCAACTGCCACCCCAACTAAAAAAAAAACTGTTTTAACATTAGGCTACAGGAGAGCTGCATCACAGCTCCATCCAAATCCATTCATCAATCCATATCTCCAAAAACATTGGTAATGGCTCCTTACAAAGTCTAATGCTGATTGACTGTAAGGCCAGCAACATAGCAGTACCATTAGCTAGTACCCTCACGAGCTTGGTGACAGCAGGGCCTCCTAGATAATAAAGGAAGGCGACCACTCACAGGCACCACTCACTCAGTAGTACAAAGTAAGAAAGAAGGACCAAGGGAAGGCAAAACTGGGAGCTCAGCTGGGAAGGCAGCACCTTAAAAGAACATACACAGTGTAACTATAAAATTGTAAGATTCTTTTAATAAAGCAAACAGGATGTAGGTACCTAAATGAACATTAAAACCTTCAAGTTGTTACATCCTTAGTTCCAATGAAAGACCGTTGTTGGAGACATTACTGGGAATGCCTCTTTGGAGAGAAATCTTAAAAGGCAGTTTATGAGCCATATGAGGAAATGCCCTGCAAATGCTGGGCTTTTTAAAAACAGAAGTCCACACTCAGAGGATGACACTGAAAAAGTGGAGCGTGTGGTCACACAGGGCAGTCACTTTCAACGGGAGGGATTTAATCCGGATAGAAAAGCTCTCCTGTCCGCTGAGAAAAAAAATACTAAAAATTAAAAAAATAAAAACCACCAGCCATACACCTTTACCATCACACATTTAGTTAAAAAAAAATACAACACTCACACGTGGTTCTTGTATGAATTCTAATTAAGAGACATTACATTCAGAATTATAGCACTCAGTGATAATTTCCAGAAGACTATAACAGCTTCTTTGCCTTAAGGGGTACACAGGGTGCAGCTGTTTACCTGAATGTATTCTTAAATAAGTGACTACTACCACGCTAAGTTTCCTAGTTGTAGCTCTGTTACAGGTTACTGACTGCAAAGTTCATGTTCCAGACTTTCTTTGCCAACACAGATTAATTACACGGGAGCAATAGCCAAGTCTTAGGGTGAATTGGGAAAGGGCCTGTTAAATGAAGAAACAGGCCATTCCTTGGTAAAAGTCTGTAGTTTTCTTTCCCAATACATCTTCTTTTTATTGAGAACTTCCATTTTTATCCTGTGTTCCTCCTCTGCCATCTCACACTCACGCTCTATCTGCTGGATTTTGGCCACATGCACCTCATTCATTTGAATTAGCTGCAGCTGTAAGATGGACATCTGTTGGTGATGCTCTTCCTCATGCATCTTTTTTAAAGCACCTTCCTGAGGAGTTTTGCTCCTGTAGTTTTTATTGGCTGTTATTCTGACAGCTGAACATGAAGGTTCAGGTTGCGAGGTCCCCTCACATACCGGGAAATGGATGAACTCTTTCTCATCATCACACAGTTCTCTATTTGAAACAGCAAAGGATTCTGGAAAGAAAAAAAAAGTAGAAACATGTTAAAAGATTTTGCAGGCAAAGAAAGTCATTCCAACTTCAAAAGACAGAGTTCCTCATTACAAGATCAATCTAAATAGTGTCTGCATGCGGCCCTCGTATCTACAGGTCCCCCAGTCACACCTGACTTTTAAAAATCCCTTAGAACATCAGAAGCAATTTTCCCTTAAGAAACAATGATAAAGGATTTCATTGTGTCATTTCTAAAATTAGGAACTGGGAACAGTCATCAGAGAACATGCTTATCAAGAGTTCTCTGATAACAGAACTCTTGATAATTTGTGAGTTCAGTTCTCACAAATTTCAAACTGAAATGTGCTCAACCTGAGGAACACGAGGTTGCAGTATGGGTAACAGCACGAGTCTTCAGATGAAGTTCTCTGTCCATCTGATCACCTTTTGCCAGTTTCTCCATCAGCCATGAACCTTCTATCTCAAGAGAGCCATTGCTGCTTCCTGTCCACAGGAATCAGCCCTTATAGCCTGGGGAGAAGTTCACACTCTGCCTCCCTCCATGTCTCTTTAATCACCTGTTACTTCCAACACTGTGGGGTGGGTGCAGGCAGCTTTCAGATCCCAAGAACATTTCTCTTAACCTCTGGCCAGCACTTGACAAACCTTGGCATTTCTTTCTTCCATTAGCTTCTGAACTATTGCCCTCCCCTAAGTGATTTTAGAGCCTCCTTCCTCTCTGATTGCTCCTCTCAAGGCCCCTTGGAGTGTGAAGGCTCTTGTTCTATCCACCCATTCCCTTTTCATGTTCCCTCGAGGTCCCTATCTCTGATTGTTCTCAGTTTATCCTAACTAACCTTATAATCTGGTCCTAACCTGGTACCTTCCTTGTTTTACTCTTTAAAATACCCTGTAAATACTTCAGTACTAAAAAAACTACTCATTCCTTAAAAAATAACAAAACAACAACAAAAAACCCCACTTCTTTTCATAATTCTAGTCTCACTTTTTCCTCAACTTGAAGTTAGGCTCTTTATTTAACCCTACCCCCACCCCCACACCAGCCTCCCTTTCTCAACCGCTCGGTGACTCCTGCTAGTCCAGGACCAATGCTGCTTGCCCTGTGAAACCTCAGACTTCTCCTTTCTCGCTCTGTTCTTCTCCATACAACACTAAACACAGTGTTAGACTTTGGCGCCAGGCCTTACTCATTTTACTTATCCTTGGATACTAGTTACTTTCCTTGGTGCACAGCAGATGACTAGAATATTTACTGTCTGCATCCTTGAACATGGAAGGAAAAGAGCATATGGATGCACACACATTCTCTTTGGCAGCTTCCATGTTTGCATTGATATTTTATAGGGTAATAATAGCAGAGAATTTCAAAAAGAAACCCACTAACTCCACTAGCTCCTGGAGTCTTTTGCTTGTTTGTCTGTGACAGGGTCTCTAGTTTGGGCTGTCCTCAAGTCAGTATGTAGCTGAAGATGACTTTGAACTTCTGATCTTCCTGCCTCCACTCCCCATCTGCCCCCCTAGTGCTGGGATTAACAAGCACGGGCCACCACACTGAGTTTTATGAGATGCTAGGAATCAAACCCAGGGCTTCTGCAAGATAGGCAAGCACTCTACCAGCTGAGCTACCACTCCAGCACTGCCCCCCCATGGAGGCTTCTAGCTGTAGCTCCAAGGCTTCTTTGAGAAGCTGTACATTTCCAATAATGAGAATTTTCTCCTTGGAGAAAAGTAATATTAATTTATTAACAAAATTGATTGCATTATAAATCCATTACATTATTCTGGGAGATGTGATGCTGGGAATGTTAACAGCTACTGGGGGAAACCTAATTTGTAATGCCCTGTTAATAAAAGGAAAATGGCTACTATTTTGAATATTTCACACCAACGGGGAAGGTAACAACAACAACTAGTCCCTAATTACAGGTAAAGAAAAGTAAAGAAATCTGACTTTGGAAGAGAAGGAACAAAAATTAAAAAGCACTTCAGTATCATCATTCAACTGTAGCAGCGCTCACCTGAACTCAGAGTCCTTAGTCCACATTCCCACTATGGCTGGGGTCAACATCTGGCAGAGCACTAGTTTAAGCCAGGTGCTGTAATGTATGACTATAATCCTAGTGCTTGGAAGACTGAGGCAGGAGAGTCACCTGTTTTGAGATCAGCCTGGGCTACATATCAAAAACTCATCATAAATAAATAAATAAATAAATAAATAAATAAATAAATAAAAAACAAATATCGCTAAGTCCTTCAGAAAAAGAAAAGGAAATAAGAAAACCCCTCTGATGGTTTCTTCCCCTTCAAGTCATGAATTCTTTGAAGAAATTGCTGCTCGGTCACACTTATGTAGAGCCCAGCACAGAGCCTGGGACAGCACTGGGCACTGAATATGTGTGGAATGAAAAGGCTATGATGGGTCACATCCCTCCTCATCTGGCACAGCTGAGGAACTGAGGCACAGGACAGAGTAACAGGAAAGGGTAATGGGACAGAAGCCCTCAGACATGGGCATCAACCACAAAGAGCGTTACTTCACTGGTTCCTTTCTAGTCTTACATCTGAAAAGTGTTTTCTTTGAAGACTGAAAACATTACACATTCTTTTTGATATCTGTACTTTTGTTGCTCTTTGATTTAGATCCTCCGGGTCTTTAAAGTTCATCCATTCACAATGCAAAGCTTTCTCCCAATTCTTAAATGCTCACAATTATCTTAACAATTTTAGGCTTCAGGGACATGGTGATGGTGGTGGTGGTGGTGGCGGTGGTGGTGATGGTGGTAGTGGTGGTGATGGTGATGGTGGTGGTGGTGATGGCGGTGGTGCTGGTGGTGGTGGTGATGGTGGTGATGGTGATGGTGGTGGTAGTGATGGCGGTGGTGCTGGTGGTAGTCGTGGTGGTGGTGATGGTGGTGGTAGTGGTGGTGGTGTGGTGGTGGCAGCAGCTGCCATTCCTGAGTACCACACCAGGTACTAGTGCTTTACAACAATTCTTCATCTAATATTTACAACCCTTTAGGGAAGGTGTTTTTACAGAAAACCAAATACAATATTCAAGTCCATTTGGCTAGTTGAAAAGACTAGGATCCTGATCTAGGTCTACATGATAACAAAATCCAAGCATAACTACTACAACCTCCCACAACTCTACCTGCTAAGCTGACCATGTACATGTGGTAAAATATAATCTCCAAGTTGTAGCCACTACAAAACAATCTATTATTATGGTATCAATGATATTCTGACTTTTGATCCCCAAATTTCTCTAGACCTATGAATACTGACATGGGATCTTCATGTCTATAAGCAAAGAAATGATTCCTTTTTAACATTTTTTGGTGGGGGTTGAAACAGGGTCTCCCTGTAGCCTCAGGTGCTCTGGGACTCCCTATGTAGACCAGAGTGGCCTTGGTGTCACAGAGATCCACCTGCCTTTGTCTCCTAAGTGCTGGAATTAAAGGTGTGTGCCACCATACCCGGCTTAAACTATTATTTTTAAAATGCATGCTAACCAAGTCTCTTAAGGCTGGCAGGCTGGGCGTGGTGGCATACACCTTTAATGCCAGCACTCAGGAGGCAGAGGCAGGTGGATCTCTGTGAGACTGAGGCCAGCCTGGTCTACATAGCAAGTTGCAGGCCAACTGGGGCTAAAGGGAGATCCTGTTTCAAAAAAGAAAAGACTGGCAGAAGACAAGTCTTAAAGCGAGGGAGCCAGGCAGAGTGGTAAAATAACTTTCAAACAAATATTAGCTTCAAAGACTAGAAGCTAGCACTCAGGAGAACATTCCATGAACTAGAAAAAGACCAGCCCAGGAACAGCAACCTATTACACACACACACACACACACACACACACACACACACACACACACATGGTAATCTCTCTTGCAGGTAAAACAAAGCCACCCAAAGTAGAAAACAACTCAGTTTTATGCAAAAGGAGTAGGAAGGCTTTTCTAGGGCTGAGCACACAGCCAAGGGGGTGTTCTATCACGGGTAATTTGAGTAAATTTAGTATCAGCAGCAGAAGCTCACTATGGCAATGGAAAGATGGGAAGAAAACTGCAGGCCGATCTCCCAGTTACTCTCAAAAGAACAAGGGAAGTAGATTACTGAGAAAATGAGTAAATAAGATATGGTGGATGCATACTAAAGAGCTTAAGCATCAACTGAAACAAGAAGGCAGGATTTACTCAGCAAGAATAGTGCTTAAAAATGTTATTCCAGGGGAGAAAAGCAGAGCGAAGAGCCACAGCACAATTTTTAAATCCACACACATTAAAAACACACACAAGAGAATGCACAAGCATGCCTGACCTGAGTCAACACGGGAGAATGAACGTGGGAATGGGGATCAAAAGGGAAAGTACACAGAACTGACTCTCACAGGGGCTTTTCACAAGCCCTGATTAGAAATACAGGCCATGATTAGACATACACCTCAGCCTTCTATAGCCCCAAGAACAGGATAGGATTAAATAGTGATAGTCATGGAACTTATTAAGAAATATTCACATTATTCAATTATAGTTTTATAAAAGAAATACAGTAGCACATAAAATTATAAGTTTTCCTAAGATATGCTGCTGCTACTAAAATGCCTAGTTCTCTTAAATGTATTTCAGGGGCTGGTGAGATGGCTTATCAGGTAAAGGTGCTTGCTGCCAAGCCTGACAACCTGAGTTTGATCTCCAGGACCCATGTGGTAAAAAGAGAACCAACTTTCCTAAGTTGTCCTCTGACCTCTACATATCTGCTGTGGCATACACACACACACACACACACACACACACACACACACACACACACACCAAATCAATCAATCAATCAATAATTTAAGTGTATTTAACCTTCTGTTATCCTACCCATTCAGGCCCCCTTCTCCACATCTGTTCTCAAAGATAATAGAAACTAAGTATCAAAGCCAAATTATCACAGGTCACAAAATTTGCATGGTGGAAACCGTTTTAATGAACTTACAAGACAAATACTGGTTTTTCTTATAAATACATTCTTAACATTTAAGATTATTATGTTCAAATACAGTTGAACATTTTAAGAGTCTTTAACAAAACTAAGAATACCCTGGGGGTAGTGATCAAGAGGACATGCTGATACCATCTCACACCAAAATGCAGGTCGGGGGAGGCCTCCAGTAGAACCTGCTAAGCTCCATCCTGTTTAATAGTTTGTAATGAATTCCAAAATTTTCGGAGCACCTCGTTCTACACAGCATTAAAGTAGTACCAGTCAGTAGAACAGAATATAAGCTGCACCATAATTCTGAAAGGTCTCACAGCCACATTACAAAATAAAAATAAGTGACACTAACTTCTGTGATATCTTTTAATCTAGTATATCTAAAAATTATCATTTAAACATGTAATTAACAAAATTTTTAATGAGATGTTTTACATTATTTTGTGGTATTAAGGCTTCAAAATGTGGTATGGCTAACTGCAGTACATCACATTTCAACTGCTTATTACCTTGAACTACTTGTGACTGCTGTAATGGATTGTGCAGTGTTAGAAATACAAAAGCAACAAAAAAACACACAATATCCAAATTTTCAACCTTTTTCCTATGAATTTCCAGAAAGGATGGTTGACAAGCCCAGTCTTCTAACCCTCCGCTTTTGTTTTTTTAATTTTATTTTTACGTGTGTGTGTGTGTGCTATATGTACATGTACATGCACTTCTGTACGTGCATGCATGCATGCATGCGTGTGTGTGTCTGTGTGTGTGTGCATGTGTGTATGCCAGAGGAGGATGGCATGTGTCCTGCTCTATCACTTGTTGCCTTATTCACTTGAGACAGGGTCTCTCACTGAACTTGGAGCTAGGCTGGTGGCCAGCAAGCCCTAGTGATCCACCTGTCTCCACCCCCTGCAGGGGTTACAGGCAGGCTTTTTACATGGGTGCTGGGATCTGAACTCAGGTCATCAAGTTCAAGCAGCACGCGCTCTTACCCACTGAACCAGCTCTCCAGCCCCACTCCCTTTTGCCTTCTTGAAAGTAAACTGAAATTTAAAATGAGTAAAATAATCTCAAAGTCATTTTTAATTGCAGAAAGAGTTCCAGCACCTTAACTATGAGTTATTAACATTACTTTGGGTACACTTCCAGACTGACTGAGTCCCAAGGCTCATGCTCTCCAGATCTGATGGAAACAGAAACCTTATCTGTACTTTAATTAGCATTAGCAAAAAGGGAAGCTCCCATGTCATCTATGTACAAATACCCAATTTAAAATAAATCTCCTTTACAAGTGAGTCATTAGCAAATGTCACTACAGGAAGGGCATCAAAAATTCAATTTTATTTCCTTCTTGCTCAAAATTTATGTTTATGAGTAAGTGAATTGCATCATTTTTTTTCCAAAGGAAAGAGATATTAAAAATGAACTCTCTAGATCCTATCTCAGATTTTGAAAATGTGAACAGAAGATTGTCCCCTAAGAACAACCATATGAGGGCTGGCAAGATGGCTTAATGAGTAAAGGCACTGTCACCAAGTCTAATGGCCTGAGTTCAACCCCAGGACTCAGAAGATGGAAGGAGAGAACCAACTCCCTCAAGTTGTCCTCTGACCTCCACACACACACATGCATGCGCACACATACACATATACAAATAAGTAAAATTTATACAACTGAAAAATAACCCTATGAAATTGATGACTAACAACCTAGAACACAATTCTGCAAAATAACTGCAGTTTACAGGGCATCTTCCTCAGCATCAGGGCCCAGGGAAGGTGAAAAACAGCCCTTCAAATTCACCTCCCTCCACCCACAAAACTGCCTCTGCTGCACAGAGACTGAGTGCTCTACAGCCAGAAAGAGAAGTGACAGAAGCTACAAACTTCCTCAGAGGAAGCACATGCCCCACAGAAGCAGCATGGAGCGGTAAGAGAGCTGGCAATGCCATGTCAACACTGTCTGCCAGGAGTCAGCCTGCCTTGGGAAACCAAGACTCAAAAGTCCAGACATGAGATTCCTGTAGTAGGAAATGATGCATGAGGTCCATGACATTAGCTGCCATGTTGCCCAGCCTGCTCCCTGGACTTAACCCTGATCAAATAATTAACAAGAAATTTTTAATCTTATTTTAACTTCCTAGGATGATCTGCCTATAGGAAAAAAAAAAGTGTTAATCAAAAGCATGTATTTGGCTCACTTGGTAATTATCTTTCTCACTCTACACAGACAGCATGCTTGATTTCAGTTTCTTACGACTTTTAATTAACAGGAGCCAGTCCCTCAGAGCTCAGTCTACTCCAGGGACACTGACAAGTGAATTACCCATCCTGCAATCTAAGAACCGTATTTCCCAGACAAATACTTGCTGGTTCCTTGGAGCATTGTCTATGTAACCCTGTAGTCTCCCCACCAACATTTCTCTGCTTCATGGTGTGCCTTCTGCAAACTGCAATGAGCCTTTATATAAGGGGCCACTTCCTATCTTTAAAATGGCAGGAACTGTTGGAAATTTATCTATACACATTTCCATTCTTGCCTGGAGACATCTCAGTTACCCCTTAATGCCAACCTTTTAAAGCTATAAATTATTACTACATATTTGATTATATGATGGTCTCTTCCTTCCCTAAGCATTATATATGAAATATTTTGCTCTTAAGACTGTTAATTTTTTTCTCAGAATTTTTCTAAATCCCTAGAGTGCCATAAACAAAAACTTTGGATCACAATTTTAGTGGTTAAAAACACTGGTTTTAAACTGAGTGAATGCTAAAAGGGTGTTTTCTGTGTTTAATCTCTGTACTTTGGATGGGTTATCTTTAAAAATTTTTTTTAAATGTCTGTAGACAGCTACATGTGTATACGCACACATGCATGTGGGTGCCTGCAAAGGCCAGAAGAGGGCATCAGAGTCCCTGGAGCTGGAGTTACAAGTTGCTTAATGTTGGTGCTGGGAACCTAGGAAACAACGCTGGTCTTCTACAAGAGCAGCAAGTGCTTTTAACCCCTGAGCCATCTCTCCAGCCCCTAATTGATGTTCTTTCAGTTTTAAGTTTGAAATAGTTTACTCATTTAACATGGCCTTTTGAGTGACTTACTGCAGTGCTTTGCACATACTGGGTCACTCAAGAAAGACAATGAATGACTATACATCCCCATCACACTGCCTTTAAGAAATTGGAGATTAGCAACCAGAGTGCCTCATTAGTGAGCACACTACACATGTGGTCCTTTATGTTTTGCCATCATCGTTTCGGAGAGCACAGGAAGAGAAACAAGTATTTTTGTTCTTATGTGCCCTATCTAAAGCCCAGTCTGATATGAATGTTTCTTACAAATTTCCTCTAAATGAAGCACTTTAAAATTCCAATGTCAAGCCGTCCCCAGGCAGCATGGCCACACTGAATGAGGAGGGGGTACCTTGGGCAGCAGCGTCAGGGTGGTATTCGGGCTCCTCCTCAGGAGGATTCTGCAGGAAGTAGAGCTGTTCAGGCAGCATGCTGCTGATCTTCTCCTTCCCCAGGACGTGGGTACTCAGCAGCGGACTCCCGCTCCTCTTCACCTTCTCCCTCCTCTCATGGGCCATTATTTTTTTGGTCCGAGCCTTGATGTTCTCCCAGCACTTCTTCAGCTGTTTGAAATCCCGCAGCGACACACTAGGCTGAGAGTTGTACTCATGGGCCAGTGCTTGCCAGGTTCGCTGCTTGAGGGCAATAGTTCGTGCATCGCTCTTCTTGCACTCCAGGACATATTTGTACTTTTCTACTAAAGCCAGCAAGATGCTTTTTTCCAACTCTGAGAAATATTTGGCAGGTTTAATAATTTCGTTGTTTTGCATTTTCCACTCTCTTTCTCCAGGTCGTTAGCTATCCTGCAAAGTGAAGTTTGAAGCAAGAGTCACCAATTGCAGCAATAAAAATGTCACAGATCACTTAGGCTTAATTTCTGAGTCCCTTCTTTGAAAGGGGGGTGAGTAATTTCTTTTCCATTAATGCTGAATGATATTCACAGGAAAATATTCAGAACTTTACTAGGAATGGTATTTTACATTTTCCAAGTAGGTTTTCCAGGAGGCTTTTGGAAAATCTATGTGGAATTCTAATTTCCCAATTTATTTCTGCTTAATGCTAAGGAATTGGTTAGTCCCCCAAATCAAAGCATGAAGCAGCTTTTGAACTAAACATCTTGCTCAATTTTTTTTTCACAGATGAAGGCCACTATGTAATCAAAAATGCATTACCAAGATTTCTGTATCATAAAGAAATTGCTCCTACGTATCTGGCATTTTGGGTCTTGTATCTATGACAGAGGTCACACTCCAGGAACAACCTCAATTCCTCCTTCAAAATGAGAGGTGGAAGCCAGGCATGCTCACTTACACCTGGGAACCCCAGTATCAAGGCTGAGGCAAGAGGACTACAGCAGTTGGATCCCAGCCTGGGCAACATAGTGAGTTCTAGACTAGCCTGGGCTACAATGTAAGACCCTGTTTCAAAAAGCAATAAAAGTGAACACTGGCTGGCAATATGGCTCAGTGGGTAGAGGCACTTGCTGCCAAACCTGATGACCTAAATTTGGTCCCTGGGACCTCTTGTCCTCTGACCTCCACTTGTGCGAAATAAATAAATAAATAAATAAATAAATAAATAAATAAATAAATAATGAGAGGTGGAGTCAATGACTTGTTGGATCTGAGGACCACTTTTAACAGCATACAATCTGGGGCTGGAGAAAAGGCTCGGCAGTTAAGGGTGCTCTGGCTGCTCTTGCAGAGGACCTGAGTTTGGTTCACGGCACTCACATGATGGCTAATAGCCATCCATAACTCTAGTCTCCAGGGAATCTAATGCCCTCTTCTGGCCCTCACAGGCATTGTGTGCACGTGGTACACTTAACATATAAAATAAAAATACATAAATAAAAAACGTAAGAGTATACAATCTTACATAAATAATCTCTGTACGTTCAGAAGTGAAACAGTTCATCTACTTAGACACAAAGTGTGCTGCTCCTCTTCACAGCTGAGGGAACTAAGGGTCAGAAAGGTGAGTTGGACTGCCCAAGGGCACAAAAACTTCTGCAGAATCCTGGCATTCTTAGTCTCATTCCACAACCATTTCTTGGGCTTTGGGTGTTTCCAAATCCTTGAGCGTCACCCTGCCATCCTCTACAGTGATGTCAAAGCATCGTCACATACCAGGTGCTTGACACATGTCTTACTGATTGAAGTGAATGAACCTATGGGTGTTTCCACATCTTCTGATCACAAGACGCATCCTATAAGATTAATCTCTCAAATAAGCAATGGCAAAAGTAGCTAGGCAACACCAATTACAGGAAGAAAGTGAGAACTATATGTTTCCTCTGCTGCAAAGGACCAACCTCGGGCCTTCTTTGGTTCTCTAAGCCTCTGATCTTTCAAAGAAATGGGCAAGCATCAAGATAATGATGGCATTTCCCATTTAAAACGGGCTGCTTCTTATCAAAAGAATTAGGAACCAGCTTGAAAGGAATCCTGCTAGCTAAAAGTGGGGCAGTTTGAACATCAAGGTGACAGATCCACCAAGATTCATTACGCTATTTTTTTCAATCTTGTGTTTGAAATTCTCCATAATAAAAATTTAGGGGGAAAGGCTATGACTTCTTTTTTCTTTTCTTTTTTTAAGACAAGGTCTCATGCAGCCTGTGACATTTTTTTTAAAAATCACATTATAGGAGCTGGAGAGACTGCTCAGTGGTTAAGACTGCTTGCTTGTCTTCCAGAGGACCGGAGTTCAGTTCCCAGAGCCGCCTATAATTCCAGCTTCAGGTGACCCAAGGCCCTCTTCTGGCCTCCTGCACCTGCACACACATGGCATACACACACATACATAAATTTTTCTAAATATTCTATAAAAATCACATTATTATAAGCCAGGTATTTACACACATGATGCCTGTTGAGGGTTACTGCAGTTGTATTGAACTGAGGCTGGAGGGGACCAGACCAGATCAGAAAGCCTTGAAACTGGGGCTTTAAATGAGGGCAACATAATCTGATCAAGATCTTGCACAATGCACCACCACTTCACCCCAAAAGTTAGAATGAAGTACCACTAGTGATGACCAGGCCCTCCCCATCCAGTATCCCTCCTTACTTCACACTGAGCACATCATGTGTCAGACTTATCAAGAGAGCTAAAGACATATCAACGGCAGTTTGGCCTCAGACTTTAAGCGAAGCTAACAAGAGGACATTTTTCACTGAGGATGTTTCCCTGCAACCCAAAGCTCCCAGGTCTGTGCTTCGATCCTATTGCTCTAACGGCCATAGTGGCATCCAATCTGGGCCCCTTCCCCAAAGATCAAAATTAATCCTCTACTTTCACCCAAACTTCTACTCCCTATAATTAGTGCTCCCCAAACTAAACTTTACTAACACGTACCCTGTACAATCAATCTCTTCCGTATTATCTCTATCAGCCAAGATGTCCAGGTCCAACTTACTTCGTATGGTTTTTATTATGAAATCAGTGGGTGCACTGGATGTTCTTAAACTACACAGCTCCAAGAGCAGATTCTGACTAGACTCCCCAACCCTAGCTCCTCTGCCTCAGGAAATGAGAGCATGCCTACTTTCCCTACATGCCCCACTCTTTTTAAGAATCACCACCCTAAGGACTGAGATCTGATTCAAAAATGAAAACGGTACCGCTCTGTTTGTTCTATTATGTGTAAAGCTATTTTATATATAGCTTATACCTGTGTATATACATATACTATTTATTTTATTACTTCTATTTCTTTAATGTGTATGAGTATACTGCTTCCATGTATGTACAGGCATCTGTGTTGTGCAATACTCGCAGAGGTCAGAAGAAGGCATCTGACCCCTGGAACTAGAATTATGGATGGTTGTTAGCTGCTACGTGGGTGCTGGGAATTGAACCCGGGTTCTCTGCAAGAGCAGTCAGTGCTCTTAACTGCTGAACCATCTCTCCAGCCCCACACATATTTTCTAAATAAATCTTTCTCCTACCTTTATTTCTTCAAAGAAATTCTCAGGAGCAGAATGGTTGCCACAAAGATGAAAACATTCTTTTTGACATCACCAAATTGTCTTTGTAAAGTGTTGTACCAACTTACACTCCTATTCACATCACATTGGCATATGTTTCTCTACTTCCTTTGCTCTTGCTGTTAACACCTTTTAATTCTATGCCAACTGTGGAGGTGAAAAATGTCCCCTCACTGTTTAATATTATATGACTGTAGCTCTAAAGCAAATAAGCCACACTCTGAGGTTCAGTCCCTATGATACCTGTTGGAACCAAAATTACCCTGAATGCCAAGCAACTTAAGAATTCTCCCTTGAGGATGTAAGAGCGATCTGGCTCTTACAATCAATGTCATCCCATTGATTGCCAGGGTTGATTCATCTGATCTGGCTGGCTAGGCAGGTGTCCCCTTCCTCCCTCAATGCTTCACACTCCATCAAAGAATATGACCTTCCCCAATAGAGGAGGACAAGTCTTCAGTCAAGGGTAAACGAGTAGCTGGGATTTCCCTGCTAGAGCCTCCAAACAAGGTCTCCAGAATCCTTCCTGGTAGTGTGTGTAGTACACTGGCTGCCATCAGGTTGAGGTGGATTTGGGGGGATTCTAAACTTCACAAAGGATTTTGCTTTGAGCCTCAATAAGAGCAGATTATTTTTACTCAGTTCTATACCTAATGCTTTATGTGCACTATATAATTTAATCTTTCCCAAAATAGCTTGAGAGCATCATTTGTTACATTCAATTTTTCTGTTAAAGAAAAATTTAAGTACCAGAAGAAATTATACAACTGCTCTCAAAAGTAAATACTCAGAATTACCAACACCTGGGGACCATTAATAGTCTATTAACTAAACTGTTATTTAATCACTAGCTAAGTACATCTAGAGTTTCTAATTTACTTTGCTTAAATTTGCAGAACACCAGGCCTCTCTGGGCCATGTGTTTGTGTTCCACGGGGATATAAGGGACTCTGATATAAACCAATGGATTCCACGTTTCTCTGCGAATTCCCAGCAGCCTTGTAAAGTAAGCTACTTCTCTCTACAAGACAATTATTATTTCCATTTCCAAGATAAGAAAACTGAGGCTCAAATTCTTGCTATTGTCACAGAGACTGTAAGTGGCAGAATGAAGACTTGAAGCCAGCACGATGGCAAGGCCCAAGCCCTCTGCTCTGCCTAGTTCTCTCATTTCAGACCTAGCGAAGGTCTCTGCTCCCCTGCCCAGATGATATCAATGAGTTATCAATCATGCAGTCTGTTAGCAAAGGTCCAGGGGTGGAGCACTTAATGTCTGCTCTGCTCCATCCATCTGTTGGTTCTACCCCTTTCCCTTCCCCTTCCCCTCCTCCCTCTTTCTCTTAAACTAAGAACCCACATTCTACCCAACCAAAGCACCCCTCACTCTAACTCAGAGCTCTGAAATAATTTCTCCCAATAAGATATTACATGCAGTAAGAAACTATCTGGAAAGTAACTAGAAAACCATGTAGAGCTCTGTAGTGGTCCACACCCAGAGGCAGGCTGTCTGGAAAGTAACTAGAAAACCATGTAGAGCTCTGTAGTGGTCCACACCCACTAGAGCACCTGACTAATAGCCCTCATCACACAAACACTTCCCAAGTAAGAGATCTCCCCAGCAAAGCTTATTACTGGAAACCTGGAGGCTAGAAAGCATAATCTAGCTTTAAACACACTACAGTGGGTTACAGATAACATAGCGAGCTTCCCTATTGCATCAGCGGTGTCCTGCCTTCCCTGCTCCTCCTCTGCTCAGTAGTGATCCCCTTCTGTGCCTGCTGTTCTGTCAGTATACTACCTGTTTTTTCATGACT